TAGGTAATATCATAGATAACATGAATCATGTTATTCATGTTTCATGTTATGAATCATGTTAATATGAATCATGATTCATGTTATCTATGGTAATATTTTTGTCTAAAATGTTTAACCACTTGTTGGTATGATGCTGATTTAATCAGGTAGGTGGGTAAATCTTTGACGTCTTTTCTTCCAACGCGTTGATTAAATTCGTTCGCATTTCGACCTGCTGATTAGCATTTTGGATTGGTTTTCGGGACAATGGACCTACAATTAGGTAAATCGACAAAGTGACATTTTTATATCTTTCTCAGGTAAATGATTATCTTTCGTTTTAGTTTTGGGGCTACACTAAGGTACATACACAATTATCATTTTTAACGTTAATCAATAATCTTATGATGATAGAAAATGGCCTTATGCTCATGATACAATGAAATGATAGTAAAATAATTGCAAAAAGTATTATGATATATTTCGACTTGCGTCGTCTTCAGAATGTACATTTTCGGAATTGTCGATGAGCAAATTCAAATCCTTTCAAAATAGCTTGCAACATTTTTGTGAGATCTCTGGCTGACAAATTACAGTCAGGTCATACCTATAACAGATTTTAACAGCGTACAATAGAATGCTCCAATATCACTGATTAACAATTAGATAAATATTGTCATAATACTTTTTGGACTTATTTTACATACCTACTATCATGTCATTGTATCATGAGCATAAGGTCATTTTCTAACATCATAATATTCATAATTAGGTATGCTCAAACTACCCATAGCTCACCTTTAATTAATCAATAATCAACAAATAACACGTTAATTAATATTTTCCCTCAGTGTAACCCGTTACTAAAATGAAAGATAAACATTTAAGTCGAGAAGTCGTGTATCGGAAGAACTCCGGATATCTCCACCTGAAGAGTTATGAGGCCCGTATGAGGACAGTATATGTGCATAGTGCCTATGTATACCCTTAGCATTCCCCTTTCCTCCCCTATATACCTACGATTATGGCAGCTATCGGTTACGCTACGTCTCAGTGATGGCGACCAGCGCCTGCTGCAGATGGCACCAAGCCTTCTCTGGTGAATGGTGACGGCGTCCGGTGTCCGCTGGTGATACCGTCCTGCGTCCGCTGACCGCTGGTGATCATGTGGGGGGGGGGGGGGAAGGGGGCAGTGATTGCCCGCTGCCCAACCTGCCTGCCAGCTTCGCGGCAGTGGCGACACTGCCGGCTGATTTAGGATTTCATAAACCACCGGTGCATGAAATAACGCCCACAGCGAAACGAAAATCACTTACTCGTGCAAATACAGATGCAAATTTATGGGACATGGATCCTGATTGCCCGAGGCCGAGCCAGGGCGTGTGCAGATTATTCATATTCGTGAACAAGCTGTCAAATGACCCGTAGGTAATGACAACCGAACCACGCGAGATCAAATGTAGTGCACGTCTTTTGCTCAACTGGGCCGTGTTTCCACGACTCACACATACTGCACAGATATAAAAGATACAATGCCCCAGCCAGTAGACACAGTCGTCTGCGGCTCACTCTTCCAGCATGAAGTTCCTGGTGCTCGCTGCGCTGGCCGCGGTGGCCGCTGCCGACCAGTCCGGTACCTCGGTGTACCGGTACGGTACCTCGGCCGGTACCCAGTCCCAGTACACACCGGCAGTTTCCTCAGCTGGGTACGGACTCAAGTCCCGCAGGAGGCCGTTCGAGCCCGCACTGAAACCGCTCAACGGAGGCTACTCGCGGCAGAACGGGAGGGCCGGCCAGAACTACGGAGCCTACAACTCCCAGGCTAACGAAGGGTCCAGCTCGCAGACTAACGGAGGCCTCTCCCAGTCCAACGGAGGCTATTACTCCCAGACAACCGGAGACTCTGGCGCTTCTTCCATCGGTGGCTACAGCTACTCCGCCGGCCTCTACAGCTCCCAGTCGAGCGGAGGCGGCGGCCGGCGGTCGGCCGCTCGCTACACTCCCCGGTACGGCGGCACCCTCAGCGCGCGCGGCTCGGCGCTGGCCCGGGCGCGGCCGGAGCCGACGCCGGCGCCGCAGCCGTACTCGTTCAGCTACGACGTGCTGGACGTGTTCGGTAACGACTACGGCGCTGCCGAGGCGTCCAACGGCGAGCAGGTGCAGGGCCAGTACAGCGTGCTGCTGCCCGACGGCCGGCTGCAGACCGTCTCCTACGCCGTGGACGGAGACTCGGGCTTCGTGGCCGACGTGCAGTACGAGGGCGAGGCGCGCTTCCCGGACGCCGCCGGAGGGGAGCAGGGCCGCGGATCCGTCACCTCCGGCGCCGGACCGGACGCGTCCTACCGGTATGGACGGAACTAGGGAGGAACTAGCCACAGGTCCTACCTAATGTGAACATGTCAGTGTCACAGTCGTCGTTACAAATAGTTAATACGGTGCGCAGTGCGCACAAACACGACCAAACCGTCACATCATGCGAGATGACGGTGTTCTGTCCCTAGAGTAATGTGTAACTAGTGTCTGTCTGAGGTTTGTTTCAAGGTTGTGGGCTGTGGTGCTGGTTATAGGTAACTGTTTGTAAGCTGATGTCTAGGTGCTTCTTGATTTGTGAGGTGCCAGTTCCAAAGCTCATTGGGTAAATCGAACCACGTAAATATTTCTTAACATCATAAACTGTTTTCGAGAAACATTAATGTATTTTTTATCCCGCACCGGAGACAGTGTTTACAATTGCTTCAGGCGTGATAAGAGAGGAAATTATCAGCTGTCGTTTAACTGATTTGTTTAACCAGGGGCTCCGCCACAGGGGGGTACGCGGGGGTCCGGACCCCCTCAATAATTCCCATGGGGGGTACAGTACCCCCCAATATTCCGAATACCTGTAACCTTGTTTTGCGTTAGAATGACTAAATCATTCACAGAATGTGTTGAATAATTTAATTAGAATGTGTTGATGGTCGCAAAGCTAAGGAATTTAAGATCTAGAAATGTAGGGAAACACGAAGATGTTGTGACACACGAAGTGCTCAACAATCGCCGACCTATATTTATGGGAGTGTCATTATTCTACCATTTTGTTATTACTATGAATGCGTTTAAGATTGCTAGAATTAACTTAGCATGCTAGAATTTGGCAATAATTTCGTGAGAGGGGTCCAGCTTGCAGGACACCTCCTAGACACAACACCCGCCCCAAAAGAGCTTCAAATCGATCTGAGAACCCTCTTTCCATGTGAGATCACCCGATAGTGTGTGTGTGTGGGGGGGGGGGGGGGTAAGCCGGTCTTTCGAGCACCATACTAGTCTGAGAGCCTAATGCGCTGTCTGATGGCTAACACCGCCCTTGGAGCGCGCAACAGCGGCCTCCTTTCCTTAAGAACGTTGATTTGAGAGGCCGCCATGTCGGTGTCATTGAGATCCGCTTCTCGGTTTTCGACTCCTCTTGCAAACTGAACCTTGTTTTTTCGGTTCATGAAGCAAAATCCTCCCGATAGAATTGTTAAGTTTCCTTTGAACTCTAGAAAAACGGCAATTTTTCATCGATTTCGGGAGCTGCAGGGGGTGGGGTGGGGGTGGGGGTGAGGGGTAGGGGTGGGGGTGAATTCGCCCAAAATGCCCACCTTGGATCCGCCAGCGAGGTTTTGTGTTTTTGGTCGGACCCCCCAATCCCAAAACCGTGGCGGAGCCCCTGTGTTTAACGTCTAGACGAATAATAGTAGACATTTCGTCTAGTCTGAATTATGTCATATTTTTTATATAAAATGTATTTTTTACCTTTAGGCTCCCGAAACATATTGGCGATACGGGATAAAATTATTAAACCGCTCGTAGGTAGAAGAAGTCTTTTACACGTCTCGCCTATCGTCTCGACGTTTAAAAGATTTGTTTTACCTACTCGCGGTTTAACCCTCGCCCGCACATGCCATTTTCCCATCCTAGAGCGCACATGGGGGGGGGTTGCCACCCCCCCCCCCCCCCGCGCCATTTCGTTCCTGTTGGAGATAGAGCTTAGCGGTAAAGACCAAAAAGATTCTTTGGGAAGAGACGAATCCAATGATACCCAGTTTTACCTTCTCAGGTCAGTCATTGACCTTCCAGGTCAGGTCAAACTAAAAAATGTTGCTGTTTTGGGTCACCGTTGAATATCAAGTGCGCTGCTTATCATATACCGATGACGATGCCGTTTTCTGGTGCCAAGCCAGCTAGAACCTCTTTGTCACACTACCCGACCAGGTTTTTGCTGCTGAGGTCATTTCAGGTCAAGTTAGGTCAAGGCCAATTATATGTGTTTGTATGTCTGTGTGTGTCTGTGTGTATACTGATGTGTGCACCGATTGGTTATGTGTCCATATTACATGAAATCATGATCTGAGAAGCTTTTACCAAAAATGCAGTCAAAAAAACTTCACAAAAAGTAAATTCCGCTTGCCTAAAACGCAATTATCTTAGATGACCTAGGTTGACTTTGACCTTGACCTTGACATCTGTACATCGTCGAACAACATGTTCCATGATAGGTGGGAGGTAAGACTGGCAAAAAAGGCCGAAATCAAGGTGCCAAAAGCTCACAAGGCCCATAGCCAACGCAAGATGTTGAGAATTGGCCATTTGGGTCATGACATGACCTGAAAAACAAGGTCATATCTCCGAAACCACAAATCACAGACACTTGAAATTTTCAGTGGACGTCAAGAAAGGATAGAGGAGCAGCTATACGAAAAATCAGCCTTCTAGCTCTAAAAATGTTGAGTGCAGAGCAGAAAGACTACCTGGGGGGGGGGGGGTGGCAACCACCCCCCCCCCCCATGTGCGGGCGAGGGTTAATACCTATATAGTATCTGCGTTTCCTTCGTTTCGTGAAAGGTCTCAATTACCAATACGCATCAATCATCATACATGGGTGGCGTGACAAAAATGTGGTCACTAATGTCTATTATTCCAGGAAAACTTTTCACACCGATAACCAAATTGCTTGTTTCCTCTCAAACACTGCATGTTGGCAATCGTATAAAGTCCAGACAAGTTGATTGCAATTGTATTGCGTGCGGCTAACTCAACAATCAACATGCAGTCCGAAACACGGATAAAGATGCTAGCAGATACAATGACTTATTGTTACACAGGCAGGCTCAGGCATTGACAAGTCAATAAGCTGGCACGTTAGAACGTTTAAGTGCCTCACATATGAAGTAGCAAGCCAGCTCTGGATCGGTCACCACAGTGTTGCGGCAACACTCGACCTTGAGTCCTTGTGGCAATTATTGTCCGCGTAATCGTATTCGAATAGCTATTTGCAAATTACAAGTAAGTCAAGCGACTGTATTAGAGACTAGAGTCATGATGACAGTTGTAGACACGACATAAATGCATGAGACACGATACGAACATGACGGTACCATTTCACTGGGTTCCTCCAGCCCTTGCTACCAGGGCGTCTTATGCTGACGGGTTGTGATCTGACATAGATACTTCATCTGTCGGGAGCACTCGATGTCGTTCCAGTCCTGTAAACCGTGTGACCGTTTGTTCACATGCACACAGTTCTCTTCGCCCTCAACGTTGTTGGGCTCCCCTGCCCGCCAGGCGGTGTGGTCCAGTGGGGAGCCGTCCGTCCAGGCCCAGCCTGGATCCTCAGAGCTCCGCCTCAGCCCGATCCAGAAGTTGGATCCTTGGGTCTCTCTGAGAAGCTGGTGGATAAAGTCGGCATTGTCCTCATGAATGGAGGCCAGTTGGGCGCGCCGGTCCTTCTGGACGCAGGTGCGATTGGCGTCGTGCCACGTGACGCTCTGTGCAGGAGCGAGGAAGCAGGAGGCGCCGTGTCGGCTCCAGTTGTCCGGACAGGACAGCAGGACCTGCCGATGAACAGAGACCAGCAGAGGCATCATCTGAGTCACCACATCCCGGATCTGAGCAACGCTGCTTCGGAGCTCATCCATCTCGCTCTGCACTCCGCTCTGTTCCGTCTGGAGTTCTTGTATCTGCTGCTGAAGGCCCTCGAAGCCAGCCAAAAGACGGCCGATGGCCTCTGAGCTGTGCGCCGACAACTGAGAGTCCTGGTGCAGTCCGGTGGACAGGTCGGACAGCTGCTTCTTTAGCTCTGCAAAGTGGTGACGAGATGCGGCGCTGCTGCTGTTCGTTACCAGGTCGAAGAACATGTTGAGCACCTTGTCCCAGTCGTGTTGGCGTTTCTCGTCGCTACTACCGTTTCTTGGGGACTCAGCAGCAGAAGTGGAGCTCGGCTCGGCGCTGCTGCTGGGGGGTGCAGTGACGGTGGGCTGGGCTGGACTGAGGGCTGCGGCGGAAGACACGTCCGCCATGGTGATCAGGTGCAGCAGCACCACAGACGCACAGCACAGCAGCGCAGACACGAGTGCAGCCATGGTGCCAGCCGCTGAAACAGGCACCGAGTGACCAGCGGACAGGCAGCGCGGAGCGCTCACAGCTCAGCAGATGGCGCGCCACACTGCCGGGTCAGGAGACTCGGGTGACAGCGCGGTCAGGATGCACACATCCGGAGGCAGCACGGCGTCTATTCTACCGGACGAGGTCTGATTGGCTGCAGCTTGCAACCTTTCACATGGACGGCTATACCAGTCCGACCCAGGGGCTCCGCCACAGGGGGGTACGCGGGGGTCCGGACCCCCTCAATAATTAACCTGGGGGGTACAGTACCCCCCAATATTCCGAATACCTATAAGCTTGTTTTCGCGTAAGAATGACTAAATCGTTCACAGAATGTGTTGAATAATTTAGAATGTGCAGTGTTGACAGTCGCAAAGCTAAGGAATTTAAGATCTAGAAATGTACAGATCCCTAAAAATGTGACACACGAAGCGCTTAACTCTCGCCGACCTAGTAGGTACGGGAGTGTCATTATTCTGCCATTTTGTTATTAAAATGAATGCGTTTAACCCTATTAGTGGCAGGGGGGGGGTTGTTTTCATCCACCCCTCAGGTTTTTCGGGAATATCTCCAAAACCGCTGAAGCTACGATGCTGAAATTTTCTGACTTTTCCTAAAACTAAATTGGGCACATTCCCTGAAAATTTCAAGTTCGTAACTTTACCAGGGGCGGCTCCAGAGCACTGGGAATTGGGGGGTCCTATTCGTGAAGCGAGTCATTTGGGCGAAGATCACGATGCTGATGTATTATAACTGTATGCACCAGTCTTACGAACAGTGAATGAAAGGTATCATGTGATAACATATACAAAGTTATTGTGCATCCTCTTTTGACACGTTTTTGCTATAATAGGCGGATCCAGGCGTCCAAAAAGGGGGGGTTATGTTTTACCTCCCAACATAGGTGCCCTGACACCGCCTATACATGACTAATACAATTGTAGTCGTTCTCTCATAAGAAAATTGTAACATAACAAGACCATTGCCACCCTTTTTAGAAACAGTACCAACAAAAACCTTATTTACTATACTTTTTGTGTATCCCCAATCTCAATGATCTGTATCCGCCTATGATTTTTGAAAATGCATATTTTTAGGATCCATGTGAATTCCTGGTTCATTCTCTATCGATCGGCAAAAGTTGCGTTAAGATTGGTTCAGAAACCTGGCCGTGATAAACAGTCTAAAATGTATCTGCAATTTGCCCGTTTTTACCCCCCTCTACCCCCTATTGACATTTTTTAATTTTTATTTTTGAGAAATGTAGATCATGTTGAGCGAAATCGAATGCCGTTTGAATTTTGAAAATCGGCCCGTTAGATCTCGAGATATCAGGGGGGGTCGTAAACAGCCCCCCCCCTGCCACTAATAGGGGTAGCCAGGAGCCTGCCACTAATAGGGTTAACCCGCGCCCGGCTGGGGGTCCTGGATTTCCACGCCCTGCTGGGGGGGGGGGGTGTTTGAACACCCCCCCCTTCTAACTCGGCTCCTGGGCCACGTAGCGATACGCGGAAGGCGGCGTTCGAAAGAGCGTCAAAAATAATGAGGAAATCACTTCAGTCAATTTTTTGGTCAGGTCAAAGGTCAGGTCACCAGAGGTCATTGAAGGCAAAATTTCGCCGATTTCCAGGTCGAATGTCGACAATTTCCAAGAAGCCAACGCATAACTCGAGAACCAATAGAGCTACAGCGCCGCGAAAAAGCGCATTCGATAGCCCTATTAACGCCCTTTCTGAGTAATTCTCTCAGATTTGACCTAACGTCAACGGTTTTGCCTGCAGGGGGCAAAAACTGCAAAAATAGCCGATTTTTTCGGAAACAGTTTTTCTGCAATAACTTTTGACCCAAGCCTTGTACGAGCTTACTTTTACCGGCATCGTGTTCCTCTCGTCAAGACGCATCGAATGAACTATAACTTGACCTTGAAAGGTCAACTTGAAAATTTGACCTCAGGTCAAGGTCATGACCTGACCGGAAAGGGTCATGTTGCATATCAGTCGATCCGTATGGTCGAGCTGAACACATCTAAGGCGTTTTCATCGCTCTAGCATGCCTCTATCAAAAGTTATTTGCGAAAAACTGTTAGATACCATTCGTGACCTAAGATGACCTCAGGGCATAAACAGGGGTCACGGACACCATTTTCATGTTCAGTGTGTCTAAACCACTTGTAATTCAGTGTTTGGGAGTGTTTATAATGTCTTTCGTCAAAAAGAGGCGCATTTCAATTTTCTCCCATTGACTTATAATGGGGAGGTCGCAAAATTGACCTGACCTTAGGTCATCGATATCAAAATTCTGAGATATACATTTTGTACATGCTATTGCTCTTAGCAATCGCTGAAAGCTTCAAAGCGATCGGTCACTCGGTGTAGCTTTGACAGACATTGAAACTTTTTATGAGGTGAGGTCACTTCAAGTGACCTGGTGACCTGACCTTGAATGACCTTGGTCTGAAATTTTCACAATATGTGTAGAATTGATGTATGATAAGGTGTACCAAAAACGGCGGCGCTCCGCGCCGCCGTTTTTGAGATATTCGCGAAAAACCACAAGGGGGGTGTTCAAACACCCCCCCCCCCCCAGCAGGGCGCGGGTTAAGATTGCTATAGGATTAGCTCAGCATGCTAGAATTCGGCTATAATTTCGTGAGAGAGGTCCAGTTTGCAGGACACCTAGACACAATACCCGCCCCAAAAGAGCTTCAAAGCGATCTGAGAATCCTTTCTCCATGTGAGGTCAACCGATAGTGTTGGGGGAAGGGGGTTAAGCCGGTCTGTCAAGCACCGTACTAGTCTAAGCAGCCTCACACCATTCTGAGGTAATCTGCAATAATCTGCACAGGACTCTGAATGCAGGTCGGTAGAGATACGTCTACAAATCACAACTCTTACAGGATCCCTTGCATAACCTGACCTTTGATTCTTGATATCCATTTGCAGGTCGAGGTAGGTCACTCTCTGATCACAGAGACTGAATGTCATGAAGGACTCCATACTGCTATATGTATGAGGGCAGGGCTTTCAAATCCCTTCAACGACTCCTAAAGCCCTGCGCTTTCCTTTAACTACGGCCTTGGAGGACCCGGCACTGGCAGCTAAGAGCCTACATAGATATCTGAGCGCCTATGAAGGTCCCTGAGTTCCCAAGCTGAAGCGCATGCCAGTCGCTGAGAGCCTAATGCGCTGTCTGATGGCTAACACCGCCCTTAGAGCGCGCAACAGCGCCCTCCATTGCTCAAAACGTTGATTTGAGAGGCCGCCATGTCGGTGTCAATGGGCTCCGCTTCTCGGTTTTCGATTTCTTGTGCAAATTGAGCCTTGGTTTTTCGGCTCAAAGCAAAATTATCCCGATAAAATTATTAAGTTTTCTTTGAGCTCTAGAAAAAGCGGCAATTTTTCATCATCTTCGGGAGCTGCAGGGGGGAGGATGAATTCGCCCAAAATGCCCACCCTGGATCCTCCAGCGAGGTTTTGTGTTTTCGGTCGGACCCCCCCAATCCCAAAACCGTGGCGGAGCCCCTGGTCCGACCAAGCTCCGACCGAATGACCATGGCTCAGATGTAAGGACCACGGGATGTTTAGTGGGCAGTGGCAGTGCGGCCTGCACAGCCGTACCTATGTTAGTTCAGCAGCAGGCCTGAGAATCAGGTCTGTGGATCGAGTCGCACTAGACCTTTGCTGAGTCGGAGTTGGTCGAATTCTCGGTAGTTTTCCTGGAATTGTTGTGATGTCCCCCCACCCCACCCTGTCTCGATATCGATTACGATTGTCCCAGCGCCCTGGTTCAGTTCAGGTTAATTACCTATAGGATTAGTCATACATCATATACGTTTGGAGGACTAATTTTATAACTAATCATTGTCTTCTATTATATAGGTAGGTACCAGTACAGGCCATTGCTGAAGATAAGACGAGGTGCCTATCCGTAGTGGCTAAGGTTTGCATCTGTATCTTAGTGTAATCTGTGTATTAGTGTAATTACTGTATCTGTAAGGTAGTGTGCCAGCTTTCCTGGACCGTATGGAGTTAATGGCCCAGATAAGGAGAACCGGATTTTTAGAACTTATCCATACCTTCAAAACTCATGGAAACGTCTTAAATTCTTCAAATTTTGAGTACCCCAGTGCAAAATTCGCCCCGACGGGTTGTCGGTCGTACCCCAACCACATTTCACACCACTATGAACAATAAATGCACACACTGAAATCGCTATTACCGATAGGCTCATATTGCGGGAGCTGAACACACTCAGACTCGATGCTTTACTGTATTATCGGCAGAGGCCCAAACAAGAACCACAGAGCCAACCGCTCGTAACCACGGTCTCCCTGCCTCTCCCGGGCCGCCGACCGCCCAGCCAGCGCCAGCCCTCGACCCCGCCCGAGGGCCACGCGGCAGGGGCGGCGCCGGGCGCGGCCAGCCGGGGAGGCGCCACGGGCGGCGCCAGGCATGCCACAACGGGCGGTCACAGCCGCCCGTAACACCCCTCCCCCCTCACGGAAACAATCATACATTGAACAATGCGACACTTACGACACGCTATTTACATTACAACTATATACACAATCACAGCCTTCACCACCTCCACCACACTCATAGTCCCGCCTGGAACCTTTCAGGTGGTCGCGACACTCGGCCTGATCTGGTCACGTATGACATTGGCGGCAACATTCCCCTCTGAGCGACGCCCACATCACCAGATGGGCCAGCTCTCCCGAGTAAGTGCATTAGCGGCACCTCGAGCAGAACGCCATGCTCGTTACCACAGTCGCTCACGGGATCCACCCCCACGGCCTCACCACGTCCATTTGGACCACTCGGATCCTGAACTGGCCGCAAGTCGGTCCGACGAGGGATGAACTCCTTGAGGTCGTTGTGGTGCACGACGCGTGTCTTGCCGCGGACGTCCTGTATCCGGTAGGTAACTTCCTCCCCCGGTGTGCCTCTTCTCTCGACGATGGTCACCGGTCCTTTAAACGGCAGACCCAGCTTCGGTTTTCCTCCCACAGCGGCAGTGTGGTCTCGTACCCACACCTTCAAGCCCGTTGGGTACGCGGTA